TATATATATATATATATACACACACACACACATAAGCATTTGTACAGAGCTGCAAATCTGAAAGGAGAAGTTGCCAAGCAGCGTTTTGTGTGTGCGTGCACCTGCAATATATGGCTTGAGTAACTGGTGCGCTGTTCTTTCAGGGGACCCGCTACTTCGTCCGAGTGTCAGCGTACAACATGAAGGGCTGGGGACCAGCACTGGCTTCCACGCCCGCCTCCGCCGCTCCTTCCAGTAAGTCTCCATTTGACCCATCGTGACACAATCTTGCGCTTCCACTCGGTCCGGGCAGTTGGGATGTTTATTGGCGTGATGCGAGGACAGGTACCAATTCTTGCTTGGCTCCAATGTTCTCCATTTCTTTTTTCTGTTGACTTTTCACTTGCGCTCGAGACGGTAGCTCGACTTTCTATTTCGTCGAAAGAGGCTCTTTTTGTTGGCTTTCTTTGGAGAAGCAAGAATAGTTGAAGGTTGTACTCCACCAAAATGATTCGTGGCCAACTGTAAAAAACAGCCACCTGCGGTGTTCCAAAATTCTTTGTCGAATCTGAAAAAAAACGAGAGGTCGATTTTTTTCACTTGTCATTTTCAACATTAGCGAAGGGAGGAAGATCTTGCAGCTAGCTAGCTTGCTCACTTGCTCTCAGACATGTGATTTTTTTTGGGGGGTGGGGGGATTTTTATTCTTCCATTTCTGCCACCTCTGACGTGTACACGCATCACGGCTTTCCCACTTGAGGGCTACCGAGTCACCGACCTCATCGGGCGGTTCAGGCGTCACACTGACGTCGCTTTGACGTCACGGGCGGGGCCGGCGTAAGTTTCAGCCCATGGTGAAGTCACGGTCAGCAATGGTCGAGGTGTTGAGGGCAGCGTTGGCCCCCTCTTTGTCCGAACGGCGTCCGAACCCTCGCGGCACATCCGGGGGGCGCGTGAAGGCCTTTGTCCTCGGCGGCCGTACCCGCGCCGTCTTTTGGAAGAGACCGGGCTCCCCCCCCTCTCTTTTCTTTTCCTCGGCCGTCCGCCACCCTCCCTCCCGCCGCGCGAGCTAATTTCGATGTTGCGTGTTTGTGTTTTCCATTTGGGCCTACCGCTGGAAATATTTGCATGTCTGTGCCGTAGCGCGCGGCGCGGCCCCAACAGTGGGGGCCTTATACCGGGCCGCGGACGGCCATTAAAGGGCCGGCTTGTCCTGTCTGGACAGGCACCTTTCCGGGAATAGAGCTCGCCGTGTTTGGGACCCGCTCGCCCTCCGGGGGGCTCCGGGAGCGGGAGTTGGGGCGAGCGAGGGTGGTGCGTGACGCTACGAGGAGGCGGGTGGCTTTTATCGCCGACACATCCTTCGGGGAGCGAGCGGGGGACGCAAAGAGGCCCGGCGCGCCGAAGGATCACTTTCTGCGCGCGGGCGGGTGGGGAGCGGCTGGAGGTTAGAAAGAGCGCGTCTGTCTGTGTGATTTCCAACGCGGGCCGAGATAGCTGAATACGTTTCCAGTATTCTTTTCACGGAACGTACAGACTTGTCATTGATGCATTGGTCAACGTCCTTTGACGACTTGTGTTTTTATTGCTCGGGGAGGCAAAGCGTGCCGTGTTCCGTTCCAGCCGCGGCGCTCGCGCCGCGTCGGCATGTGTGCGCCGACTGTTCTGCGTACGCGCTGCTCTCCGAGTACTGCCGCGCCATCCGCTGGACGAGAGGCTCAGGCCGAGGCCTAAGCGCGCGGAGGTCCGAGGCGCCGACTTTTCCGCTTATTATCGAGGGCCCACTAAGTAAGCCTCCAACTCGCTCCGTGAAAGGGAAACGGTTGGAAAAAAAACCCCCTTCTTGTTCTAATTTCATGTCGGTGTTGACGCTTTGGCTAGTTGCTACGTGGCGCCAACTACGGCAACCTAAGCCATTGTTGGGCGTCGGCAGAGCTGGATGACCGATTTCGTGAAGGAGCCGTTGGATGATATTTCACTGCCAGATGAAAAACGCCACTTGCGAAACCGTCGCGTCGAAGCCCACGACCGAATGGCCCAGCAAAAATCACCGGTGCTCTTAGTCGGGATGTCTCGAAAGACGCCGTAGGCGGATGAATGTAAATTAGCGAAGCCGTCGCGCTCTGAGCCTCCAGACAACTTGGATGTCACGCGACGAGGACGTTTCCCACGGGTGCTTTCGGCTCTTGACTCTCATCCAAATGGAAAACTTGATCGTGACTGTCTGTCTTTCTTTCTTTCTTCTCATTGTCTCTGAGCGTATTGAAGAGACTACGTAGCAGCTTGTGTGTTTGTGAGCCACGCTGCACGCGTGCGCGCACATACACACACACACGGAGACTTGCAGACTGTAGCTGTGTCGTGTTTGCATTTGGAAGCAAAAAAGGCCATCTGTCATCGTGGCACTTTGGTCCCGAAGGCTTGGCAAAAACACAAAGAGCGCACGCAACACCCGATAGCCCCCCGTTCTCCCCAATAACTCAGGTGCCAGTTGAAAGAGCTCGCGCTGCGTTGGACACGTCGTCTTCACTGAGCCGAAAGAAGAAATGGCTCGCGATTCCCAACGCGGTGCTGCAAAGCGCCACCGATCCTTTTCTTTTCCCGTCTGAATGATTTCCTTTCGCGCTCAGGGCGCGTTCGACGCTATTTGCGACCGAGCCGAGTTTCCCCGCGTGAAAAGCCGTCCCCCTCTATCTTGCGCAGGTTGGCGGGACCTGGACGGCCGCGCTCCGCGGCAGCGAGGCCTGAAGGAGGTGCTGGACCGGCTGCTTGCCCAAATCAAAGATGGCCATCAGAACTGCGTCTGCCACGGTATCCGAGAACGCCCTTTCTGCGCCTTTATCGTTTGCCCGACGGCTCGCCGCTCGTCCGACGCCGCGATGATCGGCGTGCTTGAAAGCGCGTTGAAATGGCGCTCCGCCACATATCGAAGTAGGCGCGGCTTGCACGTCCGCCCTCGACCCCCCCCACCCCCTTCCCTCCCCCTCAGCGCCTTGTCCAAACCCAATTAATTGAAAGAGGCCTTGACTAACGCCGGCACGGCAGCAGTCGGCCCGACGCGTCTGTCTTAATGGCTGTCAAGCGCAGACCCCAGGCTGCCGCAGCTCGGCGCGCTGGCGGCCTGGAGAAATCGGGGGCGGCGGGCGGGAGCGCGCTTTTCACGCCACCTCGGCGTGTCCGCCCCAAGGGAAAATGAGTTCTCTCGGACTCCAGAATGAGGGCATTTATTGACTCTCAGTGGCCCTGGGGCAAGAGCCATGATCACCTGGGGCGAGGGGAGAGGAGGGAATCTGCGCGGGGTGTCTAATGAGTTGGGAGGTGCGTTATCTCACTAACAGGCGCCCACACACACACACACACACACCTCCCTCCCTCCCTCCCTCCCTCTCTCACCTCCAAGCCGCTGAAGGCCCACTAAAAATAAACACGTCCCCGCAGACTTAACTGACCTCCCTGTCAGTGAGTGGCGAAGGGTTAAGACGCACAGACGCGCACACACCAATGACTCCGGCTCCTTGGCTCCACTCGTATGGCCGTAGCTCAACATGTGCCACGCTCCAGCGGCTAAAGTATGCGCAGGTAAACACGTGCGCGCGCACACACACACACACACACACACGCAATTAGTGTCCCTCTGGGAATTGAGAGCGAGCGGCTCCCTTAAGGCCCGTAGTCTGCCGCCGGCCGTCAAACGGTCCCGCGCCACCGGAGCGTACGAAACGTCCCAAAACATGGCACTTTGAGCGCGCCGTTCAGCGTGTCGGGTGTGTCGTCTCGTCAAGTAGGTGACAGCCAGTCGCTCCGGGAGACGTGTCGGGACACGGCCATTCGTTGGCGGCGGCCGGTCACAGTCACGGGCGCAATTTGTCACGCCGGTTCCGCCTTCAAAACACACGCGATGTGATTGTTTCGCCCTTCTTGTCTTTGCAGAGCAGTGCAGAGCTCCGGCGCAAGGCCGCAAACATTCCGTGTCCAAAAGCCTGCGTCACCTCTTTCAGCCCAACAGCAAGTTTGTCAAAAGTTTGAAAAGGTAAATGAGATTTGCTTGTTGAAATGCACACCGCAAAATATCCTCGCTGGACTAAAGTCGAGCTATGGGTCCAAAATGCGATTTCTCTTGGAACGCGACCGTCCAATTTCTCGACGCTAAACGCGGCGCTGTCTTTTCCTGAAAAACGAGGTCCAGTCCAAACACGGCCAAACGCAGCCACTTTTCTCCACCCCGGGGAGGCGGCCGTCTTCAGCGTACGCCGCCCTGCCGTATTTCACCGGGGGCGCATACGACACGTTATCATCAATCACATTTTGGACTTGTGTCGCGCGTTTTTATCGGTTCAAGCAGCGGCGAAACACCGAGTGCTGTTTTGCCACACGAGTTGAGTTGCGCGTCCCAAATATTCCCGGCCACACGCACCCGCCGTCTTCCCCGCTCGATCCGGCTGTGCTCGATGTGATGTGCAAACGCCGCCTTTCTTTTTTTGATTTGCGGCGCGTTTGAGCCACGCTCCTGCGCGGCGCGGGCTGAAAGTCACCCGGATTTGTTTCCTTTGCAGGGGGCTTTATCTGACGTCCATCTTGTACCGAGATGACAGCGTCCTGGTGACTCCCGAGGACCAGATTCCTATCGTGGAGGTGGAGGATTCCTGCCCCAGCTCCCTGATGCAGGATTTCCTTTGGTTTACAAAGGTACACGTACGGCGACACCGGTTGGCCAAAAAGGGATCTGGGCGGAGAAAGCGAAGAGCGATCGCGAGGTGATCCCGGTAGAAGTGGCCAGAATTGGGATGCGAGTACTGTATCTCCGATCGGGCCGCGCGTCGTGCGCGATATTTTTCGCCGCTCCCCGCGTCACGTTAGCCGAGCGGGATGGGCGACTATTTGAGGCCGTCGAGCCCGAGGCTCGGGAGGGCTCAAAGGTTCGCCCTCGGACAAATGATGGCGATCCGCCGGCGGGGGTTCCGACCGACGCCTTTCTTGCTTCTGTTTTGTTTTTCGCCGAGCCGATGACCCGTTCCCGATCGAACAGGTGTCCTACCTGTGGGAGGAGATTCCCTGGATGCAGCAGCGTCTCAATCCCGCGCACGCGGCCTGTTCCTGCACCCTGCAGACGCGCCTCAAGATGCTTCAAGCCGTCGCTCATCTGCAGGTAGGACTCGCCACGCGTCTTTCCCGGGTGAGCCCCGCAAGCTGCCTCGCCTCGCCGACGCCCGGCCGTCTGTCTCTCAGGGCGCGCTGGGAACGCAGGACCTGGGCCAAGTGTATTTCGAGCCCATCAAAGACAAGCACGGGAACGCCCTGCTGGTGCTCCTGAAGGACATGAACGCTTCCCCGAACCCGGACGGCGCGCGCTGGATGCGGCTTTGCAAACTGCAGCTCCAGCGCAAGTCCGTTTCTTCCCCCGAGGAGCCCGGCGCTCTGGACGCGCTCCTCGTCACGCTGCACGTAGGTCTCGGAAAAGCGGCCGTCCCCGTTTTGCTTTTGGAGACGGGCCGCCCGGGAGTGCTCGCGCTTGACCTTGGCCTCGCTCTCCCCATTGACAAAACGGTGCGCTTTTTGCCACGCTGGACCAAAAGCCCAAACGGCTTCTTGATCGGCTTTCTATTGAATGAACGGTCACGCGTTTCTGTTTCCATTTGACATTGAGGGGATACCGCGTCAGTCGCCGTTGTCGTCGTCCCCCCTGCGGCCTTCTCCTTCAAAGCCGCTCGCTCAAGCGCTCGAACGTGACAATCGGATCGGCTCCCTCGCGGGCTTCGGCAACGACCAATTCTTCGGTTTTTGTTCGTCTGTCAAAACTTCTTAACGTCGGTGCTGCAAATACTCGACCGGTCCGGGCATAAGTCGATTTGGCCCCGCGCTTCCCAAACGATGGTGGGCGATTGCCCCCCCCCCCCCTGCATCCATGCAATGCGGCAAAACGACCTCGGAATATGATGGAACCCTTCCCCCTTCCCCCTTCCCCCTTCCATCCATAGGAGAAGCTTGCTTATCACCGGCGGAGCAGGAAGCTTTTGGCTCCGGGCTTGTACCTGGGATATTTGAAGCTGTGCACCTCCGTGGAGCAGATCAGAGCGCTGGTGCCTCAGAAGCTCCCCAACGTCCTCTGTCACACCAAGATAAGAGACAACCACAACGTCTCCAGGTTGGGATTCGTCGCTCGGTCTCGGGGTGCAGTCGGGCTGGGGGAGGGCTCGCAGCTTCTCGTCCGTAGCTTAGCTCTGCTCCCAGTGCCCTTCTTAATATGAGTTGCAGTTTGAAGAATAACGCCGCACTAGGAAAAAAACCAACAAAAACTGCTGAAGAAGGATTTTTTTCTGTTTCTTAGTTTTTGGGTTTGATTTTTGTGTGCGCGTGCGTGTTCCAGAGAGGAGTGGCAATGGCTGCAGGCTTTGGGCTCGCCGATGGAGACGGAGGGCGGCGCGCAAAGCGGTCCGCCGCCCCTGCTGCGTGACCTGCGGAGCGCCATCGAGGACCTGACAGCTCACATCGACGTCCCTGGCAACCAGGTCGGAACCCGGCCGCGCCGCGCATCACCCTTGGAATTCCGACGGGGTTCTGCTCACTGCTGGTTAGACCGGACCGCTAATGGCTCGCGGAATGTCCCGTCGACGGGCTCTTTCCGGTGGTCTTTTCCCTCAACACGCGGTCCAGCAAAGAGTAGGCGACCCGACGGCGGAGTCCAGTGCGCTGCGGTTCGCGGCGGGAGGACGACCCGAGGTTGCGCTCTTGCGCCCGATCGATTGGTCCAGCGTTTCCGAACCCTTCCCGAGCCAAACGCCGTATTTGACGTGAGGAAAATCCCTCGGCGCGCCAGCAAAGCAAAATGTCCAAAGCGGCCCCCGGTTGATCGCGGGCTTTCCCTTCCCAAAATAAGCCGCGATGGGTGAATTCCGCAAAGTAGGACCCTGTTTTGTTCCGCTGATTAATACTGGAGATATATACTCAAAGGCTGTCAAGCTCACCCTCGACATCTTCTCCTATTCCTCTCTTTTGCAAGAAGTAGAAATAGACACTCGTCTTCTAACTCTGGGTTATTGTCCAGGAGACGTGGCACGGAAGAGATGGCTTCAAGTTGGTCGACGGCACCTTTGCCAAACGGGGTGCAATCTGGCCGCAAAAAAAAAAACAAAAAAAAAAACCCACACTTGGCAAGATGGCGAGTCACTCACGGGGGCCGCGGATGGATTATTTCGGACGGTAACTGAGGTGAAGAGGGAAGCCGAGCGAGAGCCACCCTCGGTCACGCGCGTTCGGCCCTTCGCTGAGCACTTGAAAGTCACTTTCAAATGAAAAACCTCACGAGGAGCACGGCGCGGCCGCAAATTCGAGGGAAAAGGGGCAAAGCCGCAGATTTGACGGAAGGCAACCGCCGGCCGCCCAAAACGTACCGAGAGAAAGCGAACGCACGGGGCGGGTCATCAGTCGGCGACGCGGAGAAATCGAAACGCCGAGCCGCGCTTTCCGTCATGTATCGAACGGGGCCGCGAAGGCACGCCGAACACGCAACGCTTGGTCATCGCCGGACGAGCGAAGCGATGAAACGGGCCCCGCCCGCCTCTGTGTCGGTCGCCAGGCGCAGGGCTTCCGGATCTACACCCAGGAAGTGTTGGAGTTTGGGGACGAGGTGTCCTTCCTTCTGCTCCTCCCCCCTTGCGACGACGTGTGCACAGTCCCCGGCCAGAACAATCCCTACTCGCCCCGCCGCGGCTTCCTCGCGTTGCCCCTGCAGATGTTTGAACTGGGTGAGCGTCCGGCGTTTGACGGGGCGCGCCCGGCCGCCCGCGTCGGCCGCCCGCGCACCCGTTGAATCGGAGCGTCTCCGCCTCCCTCTCCCCAGTCCACTTTGCGGCCTATCGCCCCGCTTTCATCGGCCGGTACTGCCGGGTGTCCGCCCTGCTGGAGCTGGAGTCGCTCCTGTCCCAGCAGGCCCTGAGGGAGGCCTTTTCCCAAGACGAGCTCGCCGCCGCCAAGAGGCAGCAGCGCCGGCTTCAAGAGCACCTTCAGGTACGCAGGACGTCGGCGACTCAAGGAAGCCCGCTCGACGGAGACCTTAGGGGCCGCTTTTTGCTTTGCTTTTGCTTGCCGCCAGCAAACGGAGGAGGTGTGGCGCGACGCCCGGTGGATCGCGGAGGCCCTGCAGCACGCCCGCGACAAACAGCCGACGGGAGCCGTCTCCGTCGGCGGCTTGATGGACTCCTCCGAGGAAGGGACGCCCGCCTGCGCCTCCCGCCGGCCCGACGTCACGCCCTCCCCGTTGCCGTCGCCGGAACCGTGCCGCAAGCACTCAGGTCCGACGCAACTCGGGGCGGTCCGGAAAGAACCCGGTCCATCCCGTTCCCTCTTGATCGCCGCCGCGGCGATGATGAGTGGCTAAGTGTCATCATGGGATCAGGCGAGCGAGCGAGGGATTCTGTCTGACTTCTCCATCACTTGCCGCCTCCGAACGCGGGAGAGGTCGGGCCCGGTCTCACCCTGGTTTCTGCTCTTCAGACTTTGCAGGCCTGTCGGACGAGGAGGGCTCCTCCGAGGTCTTCCTCACCACCGACAGCGACTACGACTCCAGTCGGGCCCAGAGCCCCCGCGAGCCGGA